CATTGCATTAACAATGTTTAGTAAAAGCTTTAATATTACAGTTCATTTTGAGACTATATCCACAAACGTTTGGAGTTAAAATCACAGAGCCAAAACGTACCACTCTCATATTTGCAGTTGGTGAGATTTATCCACAGTCATCTGGAAAAGAGGAAGAGGACAAAGAGACAGACCTGTGCATTGTTCTAAAAGCTCTCTTGTTATCAAACAGTTTTTGTTTAATGGCAAAAATTCTGTACCTTCTAATTCATCTAACTATCTAACCGATGATTTTTAGTGTATTTATTAACCTGCTTATTAATCCGACAACATTTTTACTTTATTAATGTAAATTAATTTATTAAACTGCTACTGCTCATTGTTAATATATGTTTTTTCATTACACATTATTGATTAATTCATTCCTTCATTCAGAGTCGCGGTCGTAATACTTTTGCCAATGTTACTTTATATAACTTGAAATGTTAAAAATGTTGAAATGATCATTAACCTAAATTAATAAATGTTGTAAAAGTATTGTTCATTATTGTATTAACTAATGTTAACGAATTGAGCCTTATTGTGACATTACAGAAATATTTAATTATATTCATGACCAGTGTTGGGGAAAGTTACTTTTAAAAGTAATGCATTACAATATTACGTTACTTAGTTACTTTTTATGGAAAGTAATATGTTACTTTTGCGTTACTTTTTAAATCTGGACAGGGTTTGCTTGTTTATTTTTAAAATAAAAAAGTTATATTTTTGGCAAATATAAAAGCTTTTCACACCAAAAGTGAAATTAATAAGCCTCAGGCTGAAGGGAAAGTACATTTAAGTCTGTACAGTAGAATGCAGAAGAAGAAACTTCAACACACTTCAGCAATAAAAAAAAAGACAAAAATGTTTGTCTAGAGTAATTTTTGCTTATTAGTACGGTTGAACTGGATCATCGAAGGTCAGAAGCAAAGACAGAATGGGATTAAATACATAAAGCATATGTGTTGTTTAACATTTAATTATTGCAGGTTCGCGTCATATTCTGAGTTGCATTATTTTTATTCATTTTCAGGGATTCTGAATCTGTGTTTTTGTGAGCGAGATGAATTAATGCATATTCATATTTATTTTAGAACTACAATAACATCTTCTGATTTCTCTCAACATGGGGACATGAGAGCTAATCTAAAAAGTAATCTGATTACGTAACTCGCGTTACTTGTAATGCGTTACCCCCAACACTGTACATGACTGTTCAAAAGTTTTTTCCCCCCAGGAAATTAATCATTTTATTCACCAAGAATAAATTAAATGGATCAAAAATTACAGTAAAGATTATGAATATATAATGAATTACTAAAGGATTTCAATTTCAGATAAATTAAATGCAATTTTTAACTTTCTATTCATCAAAAAATCGTGAAAAAAATGTATCTCCGTTTAATTTATATATATATATATATATATATATATAAGTTTTCAACATTTACAATAATAAGAAATGCTTCTGGAGTACCAAATCAGCATATTAGAATGATTTCTGAAGGATTATGCGACTGTATTATTATAGTCTGTATGTGACTTAATATTCCACAGTATTACTATTTTTACTGTATTTTTGATCAAATAAATGCAACCTTGATGAGCATAAGAGACAAATTTCAAAAATATTTTCCAAATTTTACCGCCCACAAACTTTTGAATGGTAGTGTATATGAATACCATAACATAGAAATGGCTTACTTCTTCTTTCTCTTTTTCTTCTTGTTCGCTGCAGGCAGAGGAACTGGTGTGTTACAGGGCTCTGCATGAGAGTCACTTCCCCAGCCTTCTCCCTCCACCCCTGGATCAGGCTCACACCTGCATGTTTCACTCACTGAGTGCTCCGCCGGTGTCCCCATTCTGAGAACAAACATAAAAGTTTGATGAGGACCGAGCCAGGGATGAGAAACTTCTAGATTTAGTGAAACACCTATTCAAGAACTTATGAGCTGAAAGATCTAATATTGCTACGTGATGTCACATCCCTAATTTGAAACTCAATCAGGCCTATCTGTAGTGTGCGCATGTAAAGGGCAAAATGTTAAGGCTTAGCATCATGTTTCCGTCCCCGTTTCTCTCCACAAATGAATACCCCACCTTAAGTTTTCAACATTTACAATAATAAGAAATGCTTCTGGAGTACCAAATCAGCATATTAGAATGATTTCTGAAGGATTATGCGACTGTATTATTATAGTCTGTATGTGACTTAATATTCCACAGTATTACTATTTTTACTGTATTTTTGATCAAATAAATGCAACCTTGATGAGCATAAGAGACAAATTTCAAAAATATTTTCCAAATTTTACCGCCCACAAACTTTTGAATGGTAGTGTATATGAATACCATAACATAGAAATGGCTTACTTCTTCTTTCTCTTTTTCTTCTTGTTCGCTGCAGGCAGAGGAACTGGTGTGTTACAGGGCTCTGCATGAGAGTCACTTCCCCAGCCTTCTCCCTCCACCCCTGGATCAGGCTCACACTTGCATGTTTCACTCACTGAGTGCTCCGCCGGTGTCCCCATTCTGAGAACAAACATAAAAGTTTGATGAGGACCGAGCGAGGGATGAGAAACTTCTAGATTTAGTGAAACACCTATTCAAGAACTTATGAGCTGAAAGATCTAATATTGCTACGTGATGTCACATCCCTAATTTGAAACTCAATCAGGCCTATCTGTAGTGTGCGCATGTAAAGGGCAAAATGTTAAGGCTTAGCATCATGTTTCTGTCCCCGTTTCTCTCCACAAATGAATACCCCACCTGTCAACAACATGATTGAGGTTTTGTCACTTAATACTTCAACTAACCCATATTTTTAGTATTTAACCATTTACATTACATTCACATTTAGTAATTTAGCAGCTAAACCTGATACATGAACATGAAAATGAAGGCCAGGAGGCGAGCAAGAATCAGAGAAGAAAGACAATCCCTACTTGTCAAACGTGATGAGAAAAGTGGTTGGTTGGTGGAACAAACAAGCATATATATATATAAAGAAGTTGTTGGTAACACTACACTGGGCTCTGCAACAATGCAACACGAATTATAATAATAAGGACGTCCATTCAAACTCTTTAATTTTAGGAGTTTCTTAAATATATCAAAATCCTCAATCATTAAAAACAAAGTAGAAAAGATAAAAATGTGGATTATCAGATGAATAACAGAGAGCAGAAAACAAACTTTTTTTCTCCAGTCCACCCTGAAATATACCGTGACATTGACCTAACACTCACATTGTAATTATAGTGCAACTAAGGCACTTTAAAACAAATTATAGATATTTTTGGAACATGTTTTATTCTTTTAATAATTATCTAATTACTCGTGTTTTTTTTAGCTACCTTTTTGCCGTGTTGAAATCCAGGCTGAACCAAAATAATGGCGCACTTGACTCCCTTGCGTTGCAAGTCAGTGCACTTTCCCTGTACAATTGCCATGGCAACAGAACGCGTTTCAAAAGCAGGTTAACCCGCTAGCAGGCTAATAATCTTAAATAAATCCAGCGAATAAGCTCAATGTGTCTAGTAGAATTAATGTACACACCTGTCGCGGTCCTTGTTAAAAAAGCAGTGGTTTCAGCGGGGGGCAGGATCACGGATTTTCACGGCCGATTAGGAGGAAATGTTAGCGGGTTTTCTCATGTTTACAATGTTGCCAAGTGCTCTGAAAACGAAATGAGAGCACGAGGTCAGGGGAACACAGAGCCGTACAAATTCTCACTTCACGTTTGCAATGCTTGATCTCTTACTGGTTCTCACTCTGGTAATGCCAAAATGATTTTTTTGGATCATCAATCCTGTGCCAGTCTTGTTGATACTGAATGAACCGTTACCATAAAAACGTAAAAGAGGTTTGAATAGGAGCTCGCAGATTAAAAGTGGCAAACTGGCTTGCGGGACGTTAACTCAATCTACCGAGAGCCAATTCCGCACTTTTACAATCACAACAAGGGACACAACAAGTTTGCATGTATTGTAAAGGATCCATTCAATGTTGATAAAGAAACTCGTTCTTCAAGTAATTTAGTACGAAGACGTGTATTTTTGGTCTTTTTATTCAACTTACATTTTTGTTTCAATCTTTCAAGTAAAACAACGTGGAATTACAAGGGAACATAAGGAATGTAACAAATTAGAAAAGACAAATCAAAATGAAAATAAGACCATCACCATATTTTACTAAATACCCCATCTTTCTGTCCAAAAAGGGCAAAGAAAGCTATCTTACAACTTACTTGACTGCCAATGTTCTGCAAAAAAATAAGATATTTATCTTAATTTCTTTCAGGTGTTTCCTACCCACCCAGCATCGGTCCATTCATAAAAAGGACAAATACCCCAGAAATAAAAGTAGCTGACAGTAGCAAATTTCACTGGAGATTTCAGTTTTGGTTGCACATAATGGTGTTGTTACAATGAAGGGTGGAAGAGCTTATTACACTCAAAGCACTATAGATGACCAAACTTCTATACTTTAACATGGATCCCTTGTATGGATCAACAGGCACTCATTTTATCAAACTCATTTAGATTCTGTTTGTGAATACAATTAATGTGTAAAGATGATCATAATGACTAACACTTTGGGAAAGAGAAGAAAAATAGCAAGATGTTGTCTCCCATTTCTGTACTGCTATAAAGCAAATGACAAGCAAATTTCAAGATTTATCACAAGCTCAAGAGATACACTTACTTTAGAGCTCACAAAATGCAGTGAGGTACCAGTAAAGATGTACTGACAAGTCAATGTTTCGAAGAAGAAGAAGAAAAAAATCTTAAACCACAATGCAATCCTCCAATGTCTGGGAGATTTCAGATGTGCAAATGGGGAAAGCAGGCAGCAGCAGAATTTAAAAGTAATGGACTGAAACATTACACAAGACAGGTGATCTAAGCAAATAGTAACTCCAGCATAGTGCAGAGAAAAAAACAAATCAAAACAAAACCAAACGAAAAAGATAATATTTTTTTTTAGACCTGCCCTCTTCTTCATACCCTGGAAGATATAGAAGATATTTTCGTAATTTATCAACTGACTTGAAACAAACAATAGTCAAAACAGCTGACAAACATTATCCAGAATGCAACAGTCTAAAAACTTTACAATTGTACAATCCCCACTAAATCATTTCAATGTAGCATTAATGAATGTCTTCCTCATCAATACCATTTGCAGCACTAGTAAACTCTGTAAAAAGAGTACAATCTATGCGACCAATCTTTTAACACATACTTTACATAGTATTTCCAGTCTTTATGATTACAGTACATAGTGTGAACAAATAATAAATCTTGCCTCTTGCCCAGCTACTTTGAAGTTCCAAAGTCTTTGTGGAAGGGTAAAATATTTTCCAGGGTTTAGCTCAAATTATTAGGACATTTTTAAATAGGTGACCAAATCTTCATCATTGTCCTGCATCTAAAGACCCTTTCCACATTATAAATGGCTTGACTTAAGATAGCGGAGGGGGCAAAGGCGAGGTCAGATCTAATCACAATGTGCAACAGATCTCTCTCCTCTCGTCTTCTCTCATTCAGCTAAACCATGGCCTTTAAATGAAACGGATCCACTTTCCTCCCAAAAAAAAAAAAAAAAACCCCTGCATTCGCTTCTCGCTGAAGTTGTTGTGTCACTCCTTGTTGAAACCTAAAGATAACTTTTCTGCTCTCTATCACGTCTTGGAGTGCCGGTTTTGGGTGGACGAAGAACGTGTGTTGCTAGCTGGAGTACGTGCCTGAGCGGCTGCCAATGCAGCTACGCTCCTAAGAACCCTGTCTGGAGTCCCGTCGCTGGATCCAGCACTCAGTTCAGGTTTGTCCTGCTTTTGGGACCTCTTCTCTGTCCTGCTTTCCCTGCCTCCACCTCCATCACGCTTACGCTGAATACTTTTGCCTCTCTCTGTATCACTACAAGAGGATGCTGCCCTGGAACAGGAGCGGGTGGGCTCTGTACTCTGTGAGCTCAAACTGTGGGTGCGCTGGCTGCTGTTGCTGCTACTCCGACTTCTACTGCTGCCTGCTCCTCTTTCGCTGCTTATACTACTGCAGGCACTATGACCTCCTGAAGACCTGGTCTCTCTGTTTTCATCTTCGCCTTCTTCCTTCTGATCAGATGCCTTTTTCTTTTCTTCTTTTTTAACCCTTTCTGTTTCCAAGGGGGGAACCAGGCTGCCCGGTCGCTGCCGAGTTGATCGAGCAGAAGAAGAGGACTGTGGTGATTCAGTTGACTGATTGGGGGTTTGCCTGCCACTCCCTGCTTTACTGTTAGACATCTTGGGAGAGTCCTGTCCTGTTTTCCCCTTGGGTTTACGTTTTTTTTCAGAGGACAGCGGTTTGCTTTGTTGTGCTGCTGTCTTACTTCTGGGACTGGGTGTGTCTGGTCCTCTTCCCCTCATTGCCAAGAGCTTGGCGGCAGCATTAAGGGCTGAGCAGCGTTTGCCCAGTACCTCAGGTTCAGGGGAGGCTAAAGTATTGGGTTGTGGGCCTGCAGATTTCCGGGTTACTTTTGAACACGTTTCTCCACTGGACTCCCCTTCTGTGGTATTGGTGGTTTTACCCTTCTTGTCTGACCTTGCCCTTTGCCTCTTACTGCTCTCATCATTTTTAGCAATCATGCCATCTTTCTTCAACTTCTTTTGAGTTGATCTGGTCAAACATCTTGTTATGCTGTTAGAGTCCTCAGAGTCTGAAGATGAGGAAGAGTTGGACTGGTGTTTGTCAGACTCTTCTTCGGTTTTCTCTTTTTCAGACTTTATATCTTCCCGTTTCCTTTTTGCATGCCTCCTATTCTCTCCAGCCTTTTTGGACTGGGATGATCTTGTACCACAGGAGGATACAGAAGATGGGGAAGAGGAACGGACTGACTCCTGGCTGCTTTGCCTACTGATGATTCGTTTTTTGGCAGAAGTTCTGGTCTCTATCTCCTCTCTTGACTCCCCTTCTGATGGCTTATCAGGTTCATCACTCTTAGGGTCATCATGGTACTCGATATCTGAATTTGATGAGGCAACTCCTGAGGCACCAGGTGTCTGTTCCTTTGGCAAACTATCCAATTTCCTTCTTTTTAGCTGAGATAAGATGCTGTCTTTTTCTCTTACATTTTCCTCCGCAAGACCGTCTATTTCTATTTTCTCTGTATCCTCAGTCACAACCTCTTCCTCAGTTACAACCTCCTCCTTGGGTGAATGTTGGCCTTCATGATTATCAGCCATGGTCTCCACTGGCATGTTTGTGGACTGAGAAGAATCTGCATCTGTATTGGAAGTGGAAAAATAATCTGTTGTCATCTGATCAGTGATGGACGGAGATTGTGAAGACCCTGAAGACATTTTGTGAGATACAAGTGCTGAATCTGTTGCTGCTTCAATGTCTGTAGTTTGAGGTTGTGAGGGATGAACAGAAGTTTGATCAGATGTAGGTGTGGATTGTTGGACTGTTGACACAGTCAGTGTCACAGAAGGTTCTGGTACCTCTGATTTAGATGAAGATGATTCTTGCTTAATCTCAGAAGTCAAAGCAGGTGAAGGAGAAGGCTGGGTGGATGACTGATGAGTGGGAGTAAAAGATGCAGTTATATTGCACATGTGTTCTACAGAAGTTTGTGGAGAGTCTTCAGTTGTACTGGGTCTTTGTATGAGTTGTGAAGTGACTTGAGTTAATGTATTTGAGTACTGCAAATTATCTTTTTCTGTGAGTGAATCTTTCTTGGTTTCTACAGCAGTCACCGAGACATTTGAAGGTTGTGAAGATGGTGTGATTTCACTGGTCTCAAAAAACACAGGTGTATAGGCAAGTTCCTCTTCATGGATGGAGACATTACAAATGGGAGGCTCTCTGATAGGACTTGGAGGATGTAGTGTAGGGGAAGAAGCTGTACAAGTCTGAGAGGTTGCTGCTGCAGAAGTGTTGTGTGATAAAGTTTCAAGTGTATTGGTGTCAGAGTCAATGCATGCAATTAGGGGGTTCAGACTGGTGTGAGTTTCACCATGTGAGTCACCAAGTTCTGATGTAGACAATGACATATTTTGTGAGTCTGTATGCATAGAGGACAGTAAAACAGATGTCGTTTTTTGCTTTGTTTCAGAATCTGGTTTAGGAGATGACGATACTTCAGCAGCATTTGAGGGTGAAGTGGGGTTGAGTGGAGAGCTTATTGGTGAAGTATTACTGACAGCAGGCAAAGTCACGGGCATAATATTGGACCTTGACAAATTAGGCTCATGGGAGGAAGGAGCACATGTAGAAGGAGAAGATGGGGATGAGCTGGTAGTTGTGGTGGAATCTTTACGGGGACGACCTCTTTTCCGTTTTGGTGAGTGAGAGGAACTCCGCTCTGGACTTGTTTTCTGGGTTACTGGTGTCTTGTCTTCTGGTAGCTCTAGTGCCCGTGGAGGTGTTTTAGGCGGTCTGCCCCTCTTGCGCTTCATTGAGTCATTTGGAGCAGTACTATCCTTGTCCAAATTCGATTCTGGTTTCTTTGGTGATAAAGCAGATCTCCGATCCACCCCTCTACCTCTTCCTACAAATTGCTCTCCTAACTGTGCAGCCATTCGAGACTCTGTCTCAAGCCTTCGACGTACTGGTAAGTTTCGTAGGACAGGCATATCTGGGGAATGGTGTGTTGGGGAACAGGGGTGGTGCCCTCTCCCTGGGCTACTATGTAATGGAGAGGAGGCCTGATCCTGCTCTTGTGTTGGTGGTGGTGGGGAAGAAGCTAAGGATGTGGGCACTGCTTTGGGAGGAGAGTCTTTAAGAGTTTGACTTCCTCCATCAGACAGTTGAGAGCCTGGGTCTGGAACTGGCTCAGCGTGTTCAGTTTCCTCTGATGAACCCTCAGTGTGTGCTCCTCCACTTCCACTCAAGCCCCTCCGTCTCCGTTTGGGCTCTTTCTCCTCCACCACTGTGACCAGACGACCTGGAAGCTTTCGAAGGACCTTGGCTGATGGAGAATCTTCTGGAAGCCCTTTGAGGATTTCCCTTTCAGCTGACTGCCGCTTTCGTGGTGAGCGAGAGTTAGGTGATGCCAGAGTAGGAGAAAGAGGGAGCTGACCATCCTGTTCAGAGCGATGTTCAGGAGAAAAGATGGAGTCTGATGACACAGAGGTTTTCCTATCTCTCCTGCTACACTGTATATTTTCAGACAGTGCCTCTCCCCCCTGCTCTTCATTGTCCTCTCTGCATGCAGTAGAGGAGGAGGACTGATGGCCACTAGAGTTTATGTCCATTGCGGGAGATGCAGCAGCTGAAGGCACAGAGCTTGATGGGGAGATGGGCTGGTGGTGAGGGGATGGCACATATCTAATTTTTGTGTCTGAACCCCGCATAACAGGGGACAAAGTTGTTGAATCTGAGAGCTGTGGGTTGGTTTGAATTGTCTGGTTTTCTGATGATGTGAGGGACACGGATTCTTTGGTTGTCCCTCGCCCTTTTGGACCACTGTGAAGCTTCTCAGGCACATCTTTGTGTTGGGGCGACTTTTGCGTTGACCCAGGGGTTTGGCTCATACTGCATTCAGAGTTCATCCATGCCCCCCGCCTGCCTCTCTCTGGGGATCGCTGGGTTAGGGATATATTGTCAGCAGGTGTCCCTCTGAGCCTGCCACTGACCCTCGTAGAAGGAGCACCTTTCTCTTTGTGTTTGCGAGGGCGACGGGTTAGTGTAGGCTCCTCAGTATTGGGAGGTATGGAATCCTCTTTGTCACTGTCGGATGACTGATGCAGTTTCAAACCTTCTTCCTTTGCCTGATCCAACCCTTTCCTTGCAGCCTCAACCTGCTCCTGTAACGTCATAAGAGATGTTGTGGGTATAACTGCTAAAGGTTTATTCTACCAGAAAATAATCAAAGCTTGGTTACTGGTTTAATGGTTACCTCTGCCTGCTTCAGCTCCTCTTTGCAAATATCTTCAAGGGAAGCCTCAAGGAAATTCATAGCATATCGCTCTATGGGAGTGAGCTGTTAAGAACAGGGACAATTGAAATGTAGTGAAAAATGGTACATTATGATTTAAAAAAAAGGTTTAAGTGATGCATCGACTGAAAAATAACATTCTAAACATTCTATAAAGACAAGCATAAATACAATGACTACCTGTTCAACTAGGGCAACAATTTCCTGCTCAGCCTTGGAGAGCTCTTCCTCTTCCTGGTCTCTGCTGTCACCATCATCCAGAGGGATATTTTCATTAAACTCTGCAAGCTCAGCCACCTGCTCAGCCTTGGCTTGAGATGCAGCCACTATATCCTCTTCATCCTCAGCACGACACAGGGCCTAGTTTTAAGAACACATTGAAATAAAATTTTCAGTGGTTTGTAACAAATGGAACAAATTCCTTGCAAACAAATGGACACATGCAATACTCCAAATGGATATATTCAAAATTACCTGTTCCAAAATAGTGGTTTGTTGTTTATTTATGGACTCATCATCATCTGACTGAGGCGCACTCAATTCAGCCTCTTTCTTCTCTCCCTCTGACACATCAAACAACTCCCTTATAGTTTGCTGTTGGAACGAAACAATGGGGGAATCAATCCTTCCATAATTTAATTCAGGCTAAGATTTTACAATAAATTTTTTTTCAAAATAAGCAATACCTGCTTGAAAAAGGCAGTTGTAAAGTTTCCACCTTCAATTGCCATATCTCCCAACATCCTCTTTTGATTGGCTTTTTTTAAAATATTTTCTTCAACTGTGCGTTCACTGATTAGCCTAAACAAATATTTTAAATGTCAATGTGCTCCCATTATCGGTATAATATCAAGCATTTATTTAAAAAAGTAACAATAATTGATCGTAAATGTAAAAAAAAAAAAAGTGTTTCATTTTTTCTTTACCTATAGATGTGAACATCTCTCGTCTGTCCAATTCTGTGGCACCGGTCCTGAGCTTGGGCATCCATGGTTGGGTTCCAATCACTGTCATAGAACACCACTGTATCAGCCCCAGTCAGGTTAACACCAACACCTCCACTGCGGGTGGACAGGATGAAGCAGAATATGCGACGGTCTGCATTGAAGCGCTCCATCAGAGCCTGAAAAGTAGACAAACATTCCAATGATGTCACATCTGAGATACAAAAACATAATTTTACTGGATTTCACTAGAGTACTGGGACTAGTATTTTACCTGTCTTTGTTCTACACGTGTACTTCCATCCAACCGCAGGTAGATGTGCCCATGGTAGTTGAGGAACTGCTCAAGTATATCCAGCATACGTGTCATCTGAGTGAAAATGAGGACTCTGTGCGTTTCTGCCTTCAACTTTCTAAGCAGGAGGTGGAGTGTCTGCAGCTTACCTGCACACAGATAAACAGCCATAAAATGGTCTCCTCTATTTATTATTTAGTGTTTTTGGTACTACATAATTGTTTATGATGTATTAACATGGTAAATATAATAAGAATGAAATCCCTAGATGCACACTGCACTGGGATTACAGTACTTACCACAATCATACTGAATAAGCCTCAAGTCAGGGAAATGTGTCCTCATGTTACACTGGATGCGATGGAGCGTGTGTGTATGCGGGGAGAGATGGGAAGACAGAACAGAGGATAAATGGCCTTGCTGGTGTCTGAGGGAGGGAGGTGGATGGCAGGTGTGCATGGTAATAGGCTTTGCTTCCACTGGAGGAATGACAAAAGTGAACCTGTGGAACGAGAGCATGCATTTAAGTGTGACACACTATTATTTTCAGCTGCGATTTTAAATTAAAGTTTAAGCTTTACCTGTCTATGACATCAGAGAGAAGTTGAAGCCTCTCCTCTGAGTAGTGGATGGCTTCCTTCAGGGCGTGGCTCTTTTCCAGGAAGCTACTGGTATGGTGTGATTGTGCAGTGAGGCAGGAGCTATAACCTGAGTAACTCCAGTTGTTCATAACGGGACGTGGCGGAGATGGACAAGTGCCTGGGAGGAAGGTTAGAAAGTCCAGCACCTCACGGCCATACACAGGCTTAGCACTGCAGTGTAGCTCATTGATGCGCATGATTTGAGAGATTCGGCTGTCTCGCTGATCCTTTCGGCTGTCTGCAAGCCATGACTGTCAAAACCAAAGTACCAAATATGTGAATGGTAGACACAGACAAACAACTAATAGGTCATTAGGAATTTTTATACTAAGAATAAGAGTTAAAATACTGTGCAAATACGTAATTTCCTCTGATCTAAATGCACTATGATGTAGTTACCGATTCTTATGTTAATAGGCATGTATGTTTGCAAAGTGTTACACCCTCTGATGCAGGTTGTCAGAAGAATAAACAGAGATTTAAAGTGGCAACAGTGTTATGCATATTTCTGAGTTTAGGAATTAATAAATCAATTTAAGATTAACATTCAATTTACTACCATGTAGAAGGGGGAACGTGGTGGAGGTGGTGGCTGAACACGGGGACGCTGAGATGTTGATCCACTGCTCTGAGATGAGGATGCAGGCTTAGGAGTGCTCATGCGCAAAGTAATCACATCATTACCACTGTTCTCACGCACTGATGATGAATTTGCCTTTGTTACTGAAAAGCACAAAGTACTGAATGCATGATTATTCTACTTGATATTCTTTTTGTTTAATATTTTGCTTGAACTTCTGTCATGTAAACTCTCAAAACCACATCTGGGCTCAACTTACCTGGTGGTTCTGGGGCTGGTGGTGGTGGCCCCTGTACTACTCTCAATACCGGGCGAGTAGGTGGAGTCTGGGAGGAAGCAACAGTTCGGGGTGGAGCAGCATAAACTGGAGGCCGTTGTGGAGGCTGTGAAGCAGTGGGTGCTCTAAGAACAGGGCTTGGAGTGCCATGTGGGTGAAGGGTGACCGATTGAGCAGGAGCAGGACGAGGAGAAGGAGGCACAGCCAGAGTCGGGATTGACCCTCCTTCTTTACTTGGTGCTTGGCGTACAACAATCTTTACAATTCCAGGCCCACTTATCATGGCTGTTGGAACTGGAATTATAAACAAAGAGCGTTTAGAAACTACACAAGTATTTCACCTGGAAAGAAAGTTCAGTTAGACTGGGCACCAGACTATGGATTACAGTAGCAGAGCTATCAATAAAAGGTCCAGCACTATTAAATACACTACTGTTTAAATGTTTGGGGTTAGTAAGGTTTTTATTATTTACAATGTTTTTGAAAGAAGTCTCTTATGCTCAAAACAGCTACATTTATTTAAAGGGGTCATATGACGTTGCTAAAGAGAACATTTTGTGTATTTGGTGTAATGCAATGTGTTTACGTGGTTTAAGGTTCAAAAAACACATTTCTTTGTTGCTCCTCTCTGTTCCACCTTTCTGAAATGTGTTGATTTTTACAAAGCTCATCGTTCTAAAAAGCGCAGTGTGCTCTGATTGGCCAGCTATCCAGTGTGTTACTGTTTAAATGTTTGGGGTTAGTAAGGTTTTTATTATTTACAATGTTTTTGAAAGAAGTCTCTTATGCTCAAAACAGCTACATTTATTTAAAGGGGTCATATGACGTTGCTAAAGAGAACATTTTGTGTATTTGGTGTAATGCAATGTGTTTACGTGGTTTAAGGTTCAAAAAACACATTTCTTTGTTGCTCCTCTCTGTTCCACCTTTCTGAAATGTGTTGATTTTTACAAAGCTCATCGTTCTAAAAAGCGCAGTGTGCTCTGATTGGCCAGCTAGCCAGTTCGTTGTGATTGGCTGAATACCTCAAGCGTGTGACGAAATGTTACACCCCTTACCATATTTGGAATATCAGCTTACATGGCGGTGGCAGCAACGATAGTACAGCGAGAATACAATTTACAACACCTTTCTTTTTGTATACATTTGGGCAGTGTTATGCAAATCTTCCCACACTGTGACGTAGATTTGTGAGGGAGTGTTTTAATGAGGTGCTTTAGGAAGGTGTGGATGAGTTAACTTTTAGAAAGAATATCTCTTTGGGTTTGAGACATTAATCTTTGCGACTTTACAGATCTTATATATGCACAAACAGCTTGTAACATTTCAAAGACAAAGGAAAACATGAAATCACGTTTCTTTTTGTATACATTTGGGCAGTGTTATGCAAATCTTCCCACACTGTGACGTAGATTTGTGAGGGCGTGTTTTAATGAGGTGCTTTAGGAAGGTGTGGATGAGTTAACTTTTAGAAAGAATATCTCTTTGGGTTTGAGACATTAATCTTTGCGACTTTACAGATCTTATATATGCACAAACAGCTTGTAACATTTCAAAGACAAAGGAAAACATATGACCCTTTTAATAAAAATAAAGGAAAATATTACTAATATTCAAAATAACTTTATTTTAATATATTTTGAAATATAATTTATTAATTTAATGGCAAAGCAGCCATTACTTCAGTATTCTAATAAGATCCTTAAGAAATCATTTTATACATACTTGCTGAATAAAAATGTTTATTTCTTTCAAAAGAAAAACAAACTATTTCCAAACCTTGTAAATGGTAGAACAATTATTTAGTCTCTTAATTCTGGAGAAACATGGACAATTACAAATTCACAAACTTAACCTGCATACATTACACTTACAGGAACAGAATAAAACTGAAAACTAGAAAAGGAAAAAAGTCTGAAATGAGAACACTGCTAAATCCACTCACTTCATGAAATAATGAACAAGAAAATAAAATAAACAAACCCAACCAAGATTTGACTTGAAATGTGCAGTGGTGTTTGCATATATCTTAATACCTTCATTCAACAGGACCTATTGAGTTAGTAGCCAACAAACCATCCGAATAAGCGGTCACATGCAGTTAGAACCCCCCCCCGTGCCAGAATACCCATGCACATGCTCTGCTGAGTAACAGGTAGTTTGGTACCCAGGATACAGGCTGTACCCGAACAAGGATGAACTCAAGGACAGCACCAGTACCTTGAGTAGCGGTGAAAGGTACTGCTAGTCCAGAGCAGGTTGGGATTGTGCTGGTTGGGTGGGGATTTGCTGAGCTGCTACCTGACTGACTAACTGTGTGAAGAACTGCCTGACTAAAAAGGTGGTGTTGCCCACTACTGGAAACCAGATGCATTATATTTCCTAAAGGGCACAACCACAGAAGAAAGTGTTAGGCCATAGACCACACCAAACACTCAAAGAAAGACTGAAGGCGTGCAGGAAAAGGCGGAACCTGTCCATAAGCAGGTAGTGGATTATTTACACAAGCAGATTATTCATCTATTTATGTGGAAGGCAGTGGATACCTTGGATGGGTCGTGGCTGAGGAACAGGAACTTGGTGCAAGGGAGTCCCAGAGAGTGTGAGCTTGTTGCCCTGTAGCTGGAAGGTGACTGGTTTACTGCCCTGAGAGGACGACACTGGTCGGCCAGCCAGGGAGGCCAGCTGAGCGATACTCACAACTTCACCGGCTGTGACAAATTAAAGAAAATTATTTAACTTAACTGTTTATCGCTATGAAACAATGAAGTGTGATGCAATGAACTTACATGGCAAACGAGCCTGCATATCTGGGCTAAGCAGGACCCTCTGAGTCATAATGTTGCTTGGTGGTTGAGGGGGAGCGGACACCGTTGTGACGCTGGATGGTCCTGAGGGGCGTACAGTCACTGGCTGGGGGGCTGGAGGCCTGACTGCAGGTGCAGAAGGGACACTGCTATGAGCCACTGGAGCTCTTGCAGCAGCAACAGGAGTAACAGGACAAACTGAAATGAGAATAAAAATGTTTTCTCTTTATGTCATCATTACATGAGTGACACCTGCTGATGAGGATGTTAGACTTGGCCCCCTGAACTGACCTTGAGGTGCTGGCTGTGAGGGAGGGGTGACCTCTGTAATTAAAGGCTTTGGAGCCTGAACAGCTGTGGTGGTAGGGCACGTAGGGCGAGGACTGTTCGCTGATGAACGCCCATCAGATTTAGGAAGAGGCTGAAGCATCCTGCAGAGAAACAAGAACATTCCAAAACTTTATTTTAAGACTAATTTTGGTCATATCTTGAATCAGTTCAATATATCATACATCACAACTGTGTGTTTGAATATTTTTGTCATACCTGTTGACTTTCATGCGAACAGGCTTCGGTCTGGGAGGAGGATCAGGGGACTCCATGATCTCCTGAATAAGATGATGTGTCACTTTCCTCTGAGGCAGGAAAACATCTGCCTGGTATCTAGTCACACGCTGCTCCAGGCCAACCAGGTCCAACATGGACATGTCACAGCGCTTTGGGGGGGATAAGACATTTTTGTATTAACCTTCACTGAGGGTCCAGAAAAGAAAAACAGATTTGAACAAACAAAATAGGGCTGCACGATAAATCGCATGCGATATTTTAATGTATGTACATATATGATAGTGGTTTTGCGCAGCTTGTCAGTGAACAATGGCTTGGTGTAGTAAATTTTGCTCCATGTGAGAGCACGCACATGATGGAGATTTACCACCAACTACAGAACTGGCTTTACTGACAAGATGCACATTAAATATCGCATGCGATTTATCGTGCAGCCCTAAAACAAAACATTAGAAACTTCCTGATAACAGAAATGTGTAAAAATGTTTTTAATGTTATATAATTATAAAACATTAATAATAATAATAATATAATTATAACATTTATATAATTTTGTGTTTTATTGTCCTCATTTGTAAGTCGCTTTGGATAAAAGCGACGAGGAGAAGGAGGCACAGCCAGAGTCGGGATTGACCCTCCTTCTTTACTTGGTGCTTGGCGTACAACAATCTTTACAATTCCAGGCCCACTTATCATGGCTGTTGGAACTGGAATTATAAACAAAGAGCGTTTAGAAACTACACAAGTATTTCACCTGGAAAGAAAGTTCAGTTAGACTGGGCACCAGACTATGGATTACAGTAGCAGAGCTATCAATAAAAGGTCCAGCACTATTAAATACACTACTGTTTAAATGTTTGGGGTTAGTAAGGTTTTTATTATTTACAATGTTTTTGAAAGAAGTCTCTTATGCTCAAAACAGCTACATTTATTTAAAGGGGTCATATGACGTTGCTAAAGAGAACATTTTGTGTATTTGGTGTAATGCAATGTGTTTACGTGGTTTAAGGTTCAAAAAACACATTTCTTTGTTGCTCCTCTCTGTTCCACCTTTCTGAAATGTGTTGATTTTTACAAAGCTCATCGTTCTAAAAAGCGCAGTGTGCTCTGATTGGCCAGCTATCCAGTGTGTTGTGATTGGCTGAATACCTCAAGCGTGTGACGAAATGTTACACCCCTTACCATATTTGGAATATCAGCTTACATGGCGGTGGCAGCAACGATAGTACAGCGAGAATACAATTTACAACACCTTTCTTTTTGTATACATTTGGGCAGTGTTATGCAAATCTTCCCACACTGTGACGTAGATTTGTGAGGGAGTGTTTTAATGAGGTGCTTTAGGAAGGTGTGGATGAGTTAACTTTTAGAAAGAATATCTCTTTGGGTTTGAGACATTAATCTTTGCGACTTTACAGATCTTATATATGCACAAACAGCTTGTAACATTTCAAAGACAAAGGAAAACATATGACCCTTTTAATAAAAATAAAGGAAAATATTACTAATATTCAAAATAACTTTATTTTAATATATTTTGAAATATAATTTATTAATTTAATGGCAAAGCAGCCATTACTTCAGTATTCTAATAAGATCCTTAAGAAATCATTTTATACATACTTGCTGAATAAAAATGTTTATTTCTTTCAAAAGAAAAACAAACTATTTCCAAACCTTGTAAATGGTAGAACAATTATTTAGTCTCTTAATTCTGGAGAAACATGGACAATTACAAATTCACAAACTTAACCTGCATACATTACACTTACAGGAACAGAATAAAACTGAAAACTAGAAAAGGAAAAAAGTCTGAAATGAGAACACTGCTAAATCCACTCACTTCATGAAATAATGAACAAGAAAATAAAATAAACAAACCCAACCAAGATTTGACTTGAAATGTGCAGTGGTGTTTGCATATATCTTAATACCTTCATTCAACAGGACCTATTGAGTTAGTAGCCAACAAACCATCCGAATAAGCGGTCACATGCAGTTAGAACCCCCCCCCGTGCCAGAATACCCATGCACATGCTCTGCTGAGTAACAGGTAGTGTGGTACCCAGGATACAGGCTGTACCCAAACAAGGATGAACTCAAGGACAGCGCCAGTACCTTGAGTAGCGGTGAAAGGTACTGCTAGTCCAGAGCAGGTTGGGATTGTGCTGGTTGGGTGGGGATTTGCTGAGCTGCTACCTGACTGACTAACTGTGTGAAGAACTGCCTGACTAAAAAGGTGGTGTTGCCCACTACTGGAAACCAGATGCATTATATTTCCTAAAGGGCACAACCACAGAAGAAAGTGTTAGGCCATAGACCACACCAAACACTCAAAGAAAGACTGAAGGCGTGCAGGAAAAGGCGGAACCTGTCCATAAGCAGGTAGTGGATTATTTACACAAGCAGATTATTCATCTATTTATGTGGAAGGCAGTGGATACCTTGGATGGGTCGTGGCTGAGGAACAGGAACTTGGTGCAAGGGAGTCCCAGAGAGTGTGAGCTTGTTGCCCTGTAGCTGGAAGGTGACTGGTTTACTGCCCTGAGAGGACGACACTGGTCGGCCAGCCAGGGAGGCCAGCTGAGCGATACTCACAACTTCACCGGCTGTGACAAATTAAAGAAAATTATTTAACTTAACTGTTTATCGCTATGAAACAATGAAGTGTGATGCAATGAACTTACATGGCAAACGAGCCTGCATATCTGGGCTAAGCAGGACCCTCTGAGTCATAATGTTGCTTGGTGGTTGAGGGGGAGCGGACACCGTTGTGACGCTGGATGGTCCTGAGGGGCGTACAGTCACTGGCTGGGGGGCTGGAGGCCTGACTGCAGGTGCAGAAGGGACACTGCTATGAGCCACTGGAGCTCTTGCAGCAGCAACAGGAGTAACAGGACAAACTGAAATGAGAATAAAAATGTTTTCTCTTTATGTCATCATTACATGAGTGACACCTGCTGATGAGGATGTTAGACTTGGCCCCCTGAACTGACCTTGAGGTGCTGGCTGTGAGGGAGGGGTGACCTCTGTAATTAAAGGCTTTGGAGCCTGAACAGCTGTGGTGGTAGGGCACGTAGGGCGAGGACTGTTCGCTGATGAACGCCCATCAGATTTAGGAAGAGGCTGAAGCATCCTGCAGAGAAACAAGAACATTCCAAAACTTTATTTTAAGACTAATTTTGGTCATATCTTGAATCAGTTCAATATATCATACATCACAACTGTGTGTTTGAATATTTTTGTCATACCTGTTGACTTTCATGCGAACAGGCTTCGGTCTGGGAGGAGGATCAGGGGACTCCATGATCTCCTGAATAAGATGATGTGTCACTTTCCTCTGAGGCAGGAAAACATCTGCCTGGTATCTAGTCACACGCTGCTCCAGGCCAACCAGGTCCAACATGGACATGTCACAGCGCTTTGGGGGGGATAAGACATTTTTGTATTCTGAGGGTCCGAGGGTCCAGAAAAGAAAAACAGATTTGAACAAACAAAATAGGGCTGCACGATAAATCGCATGCGATATTTGTACATATAAAACAAAACATTAGAAACTTCCTGATAACAGAAATGTGTAAAAATGTTTTTAATGTTATATAATTATAAAACATTAATAATAATAATAATATAATTATAACATTTATATAATTTTGTGTTTTATTGTCCTCATTTGTAAGTCGCTTTGGATAAAAGCGTCTGCTAAATGACTAAATAAATAAATAAAATGTGTCAACCAATAGATATTTGACCACTTATATCACTTTATCATATATGTCCCTGTAACATTAAAGGGGTCATATGATGCGATTTCAATTTTTCCTTTTCTCTTGGTGCATAAAGAAGATCTGTAAAGTTGCAAAGACTAAAGTCTCAAATCCAAAGAGATATTCTTTATAAAAGTTCAGAGTCAGCCACACCTACCTAAAACGGCTCGTTCTAATACGCCCCCACATATCTACCTCACTATGTGGGAAGATTTGCATAACGCCACCCAAATGTTCACGCAAAGAAAGGCGGCGTAACTTTTATTCTCACTGTAGTATTGTTGACGCGGCAGCCATGGTGCTGTGTGCTTCGTTGTGAAAGCGAAACTACTTTGTTTGGTCTTTCAAAAGAGGACGATATCTGCGTCGTCATGCCTAGAGCTGATCCGTGCTGGTTGCTGAGGGAATACATCAACTTTCACCGTGGAGTCCAGCCCGAGGTCCATCACATGTGGTTGCCGCTCATTCGTCGCATCCGCCGGGCACGCCGTTCTCGACCCCGCCGCCTCAGCTCAACTCCGCGCACGCTAAGCTGGGGCTTCGGCTCACGCTAGCCCGGCCTCAGCTCACTCTATCCCGGCCTCAGCGCACGCTAAGCCGGGGCTTCCCCTCATGCTAGGCCGCTGTGTTTTTCGTTGTGAAAGCGAAACTACTTTGTTTGGTCTTCCAAAAGAGGAGGCATAGATGAGGAACAATAATGTACAGTATGTGGAAAATAATGTGTTTTTTGAACTTTAAACCGCATAAACACATTTCATTACACCAAATACACAAAATAACGTTCTTTTTAGCAGCATCATATGACCCCTTTAATGCATTCAGTGGACAGGGCCACTTACTTTACACATCAGGGGTATATAATAAAATAGTGTCCTACTCCTGGATCACCACAGTACTGAGTATTTCAAGTATTTCAAACTCAAATATCTTTACCATTTTATCAAAGGGTGTGTCTGAAATGGCACCCTATATCACTCTTCATTATTACTAATATAGTCCACTGAATGATTGAGTGAAAACAAGTGAGCAAATACGTATACATTGTTTATACACTTGTTTTTGGGGTGCATTGTGGGATTGAATGAGTGCACTCCATAATGTCCACTACCGTTTCGGACACCACTATACATATATATATATAGCACTAAATTAGGGATGCATCGATCCGATACTTAGTATCGGTATCGGCTTCGATACTGGCATTTTCTGCCAGATCGGTTTATGGTCAGACGAGACCGATCCAAATCCGATATTGTGCGTATACTATTCTGTGTTATTGTTAAGCCCCACGAAATCACAAAAACATTATAAAGCACCATAAAGTCAAAGTCCAACTGTTCTGAAGCCGTTCCATAGTTTAATGTGAGGTACATTATACATAGTTAAATTCAAGTTCACAAACTCTTCTCCCCGCTGTGTCTGTCTGTCATCATTCAGCATTCAAACTGCGTGTCACGTTCGGTTATGACAGTCAACATGATGAAACTCTCTCCAAGATCGCACAGTAACTGAAATTTAAAACTGTTTAAAGGGGTCATGAGATGCTGCTAAAAAGAACATTATTTGGTGTATTTGGTATAATGAAATGTGTTTATGCGGTTTAAGGTTAAAAAATATATAATTTTCCACATACTGTACATTGTTTCTCTTCTATGCCCCACTTTTCCGAAATGCGTCTATTTACAAAGCTCATCAGTCTGAAAATTACGGATTATAATGACTTATACTGTCTTTTTACGTGTTGCATCTCGCAGAGTAAACATAAAACCATGTCTGCATTTGTGATCGGAGAAATGACAAACAACAAGCGCTACTCTACACTGCTCAAAACTCGCGTTTGAATTGTCAGTGGCTAATTCTTTAAATATGAAAACGTACTTACAGTCTGTGAGTCAGAACAGCCGGCATTGTAGTCTACTCTACCAGGATCAGGAAACAGTCCTCCATAATATGTGGGGGCGTGTTAGAACGAGCCGTTTTAGGTAGGCGTGGCTGACTCTTAACTTTTATAAAGAATATCTCTTTGGATTTGAGACTTTAGTCTTTGCAACTTTACAGATCTTCTTTATGCACCAAGAGCTTGTAACACTTCAAAGAGAAAGGAAAAATTTAAATTCGCATCATATGACCCCTTTAAAGAAAAGGCTCAAACTATTGCACAGATTTAATAAACTACGCATCAATATCTCTTTCCTTTGTGCTTTGAAATTCTCTATGCGGAGCGCTGCACTGTGACTGACGTGTTGCTTCAAGCGCATCATTCTGCGCATTCATTTTTTTTATAGCATTTCGTGTTCTGTCCTATGATAGGACAGAAAAAGAAAGGCTATTAATAATTAATGTATAGCACAGTAATGGAGGCAGCAACATATGGTAGTCCTATCTATGTTGCTGCCTCCATTACTGTGCTAGCCTAATACATTTAAAAGAAATGTCGTTTAATTTTATATTATACATTTATATATAAATAAATTTATTTGTTTTCATTAATGTATTTTACAACAATACAAAGAGCAATGTGTAACATTTCACCAGATTTAGTCCTACACTTATTCGCATTTTATTTGTTCTAATGTTATTTCACTAAATGTTTAGATTTTATAAAATTGTGCACTCATGATTTTTCTAGAATAACTTTTGCTGATAAATTATCCACTAACCTAGTTTATAATAGTATTTTTGTCAGATTATGATTACGTATTTTTTCATTTGTTATTTTTCATTAAAATGAAGTTGTCTATATTTAGTAAATTGTGTTTAACACACAAAAGAAAGACGATCAGAAGTATAAAATTCTACATTGATAAAAAAAAAAAGCCTGCGCTAGTATCGGATCGAAATCGGCCGATACTCAGAATTTTTGGGATTGGATCTGAAAAAATGGTATGGTTGCATCCCCTACACTAAATAAGGGTATGGGGGCAATTTTGGACAGCCACTGTCTTCATGATTCAAGGTTATTATAGTTTTGAATTTTTAAATTCATTTTATTTTAATTTAGTTTTCAAATTTGCCATAAAATTCAGTTTAGTTTTTATTAGTTTCATTCATATTTTTGTTAGTTTTAGTTTAGTTTTTATTTTGTGAACGCATTTTTATATACCGTATTGGTTTCCGTTTTAAAATCACAAAGGGAGTTTGGTCCCATCAGGCTAACGTGACAGTCACAACTCTTTTTACATGTCACGACTTCTTTTTCTTTTGTTTTTATTCGCAATCTTTACAACACGCATTACATTACTATTTCATGGCACACCCGTTTTATGCGGTTTTGGCACCACCTAGTGTTGTGGGTGTATTATTGACATGTCAAAGTCTAAACCCTGAACATAAGACGACCGCGTTTTTTCAGATGTATTTCCAAGAAAAAAACATCGTCTTATATTCGGGACAATACGGTAGTTCAGTTTCAGTTTTAATTAAAGTTCAGCAGAATTAACAGATCACTTCCAGAGCCCAGGCCAAAGAAAGATGTAGGCATAATTTAACCTTAGTGAGGCAAAGATATAGCGACACAAAATTAACGCATGCTGAGATTGATTAGATAGAAGTATACAAATACACACCAAAGAAAGCAGGCAAGCCTTTTTTACTAAATTAATCTACACAAGTCGCGCTTAACGTCCTATCCAATGATGTGTGTTGAGATATTTAGTATGAAAATAAATGTAGCCTGATTTGGTTATATGTCTTTTCTTATTTAACCATAATCATGATATTGTAACTGTGGTGTCTTGCTCACTTTTCCGTGAACAGCCATGCATCAATCAAAACTGGGACTAATGAAATTCAATAATAACGGCAATTGCATTTAACAGTAAAGGCTTTGAATGTTCTTTTCATTTATGAAGAATTATAAGCATGTGTATGATGTGATTTAGCCAATGCACATTTGTTCAAAAGCCTGGCAGAGTGATCACAAGATGCTTGGCTAAAGTTTTGTGTTGTTTTCAGAAAGGATGCGCGTTCTCATCTTTTTTTCCTGTTAATTATCATGTTGCACTGCATGTCTGTTTTTCTTCAAAGCACCAACTTAGAATGACTAATGTTGGTTTGATTGCTTGTGTTACATGAGAAAATAAATAATCTTGCTTACCTGATGTAATGGATTTAATGCGAGTGCGGTTCGGGTCGCGACTCGCGGTCTTTAATGTCAAATGGTTCTGGTCTGGTACAGAATTAAATTAGTGCTGCTGTCAGATAATGGGTCGGGTGTTCTGTTAAGCACTGCTGGTGCACGTTTACCAAACAGGACCCATGCAGGTTTTAAAGTCTCTCCGTCAGATAACCCCATGTGCGAGATGCGCCATTACAGGTAGGCTATTTCCCTAAACCTCCACACAGCTCGTATTTTTCCGCCAAGGGGTGAGATTATGATTACGAAAACGATTATTTATTTTTGATAAATATTATTTTATTTCAGTTAGTTTTTCAATAACTGTTGTTAGTTTAGTTTCGTTTTAGTTTTTCCAATTATTTTGACGTTTTTATTTTATTTCAGTTTACGAAATTATTTTTTCATCAATCGTTTTAGTCTTAGTTTTAGTTTTCGTTTACGAAAATAACCTTGTCATGATTACTATAAACTTTAATGCAAGCATGTTGGGGCAGGTTGTATCTAAACACAGCAGGACAATTGCCCTCCAGGAACAGGATTGAACACTCCAATACAGCTAAACAAGCACACAGGACAGTAAAGTTTTAGAAATTGCTGGTAGTCTTCACCATTTACCTCAAAAGGTGAAGTCTCAAGAGCCCGATGAACCAGTGAAGCAGTAGAATAGATGATGGCCTTTGTGATGAAGGGGGATTGTATGGGCCTTGGATCAAACAGGTTGGGGTGATTACACACTTTCCGCAGCTGCATCAGGATGTTGATCACAGACATGAAATGGCCGCTGGTTAAAGTCTCTCGAGTCCTGGGAGAACATGGTACGGGGCACAAAAAACACGGAACAATAAGTAAAAGAAAAAAAAAACTACCCTAACACCTGAAGTACGGAAAAAATTATCCAATCAATTATCATCCAAGGCCTGAGTTTGGACGTTATTATAAACAAAGGAAAAATGCCTTTTCTAATTCCTCAACCCCACCCTTGTCTGTTTGCCCTGGTTACTCACGAGGCCTGGGCCATGAAGTCATCATAGAGAAAACGCTGTCTTTTGGAGAGTCGACAGCGCACAACATGCTCATATTTTTTTGGCATTTGTTTCTCCACATCGGCTTTGATTCTTCGCAGCAAAAAGGGTCTTAGCACCTAGAGAGAGAGAGACGTAGGAAACTTATGTGAAGCCAAAAGCCTAAATGCTTCCTTTTAATATCACAAACGAACTCAGGCAAAAATCATAAGAGAAACATGGTAACTATGTTTGTGCTATTTTCATAAATGCAATAAATTACATAAAAATTAGTGCTGGGCAATGATTAATCGCATCCAAAATAAAGGTTTTTATTTATATATTATATGTGTGTGTACTGTGTATATGTATTATGTATATATAAAGACACACATACAGTATATATTTTGAAAATATTTATATTCATATAATTTATATTATAAATAAATATATTTAATATATAAACAACACAAAGACTTTTATTTTGGATGCGATTAATCGTTGCCCAGCACTAATAAAAATGATTCATAAACTGGTACTACCTTGTGAAGCCGCTTGACCAAGCCCTCGTTGTACTCCTGGCTCCCTTCAATCATTCCAGTGAGCGGGTTTGAGAACCACTCCTTGAACTCACGATGGGACTGGAAAACGTGCGGCATGAGGAAGTGCATAAGAGACCACAGCTCCATTAGACTGTTCTGGAGAGGGGTACCTGTGAGCAACAATCGCCTCTGGCTGCATGGAAGACAGAGAATTGAGAGAAAGAAATAGAATGCACACAACAAAAAAAACACCTCATTACATCCTAATTAAATGGGTTTTTCCACATAAAAACATAATGAAACAAAAGTCAGAATGGGACCTATAAATGATCAAGACCTTCAAAGAAATTAATGTATACAAGTACCTGTTGAAATTGAGCAGGCTTTGCCAGCGCTGGGACTTAAAGTTCTTGATGTTCTGGGCTTCATCCAAAATGAGGTACCTCCAAGACTTGCGCCTAAAAGCCTGATGATCTTGCAGTACTAGCTTATACGAGGTGATGCAGACATGGAAAGCATTGGGTTTGGTCCAGCCCTAACAAAAATAAAAAGGAAAGAAAAACAATGATAAAATCACAGATTGAAAGGCAAAAAGAAAACACAATTGTTTTAAAGAATTTTGTGGAAGTGTTTTTAAAATATCTTTATTTTAATTAAAAATATATTATTGTATTTATTACTTGTCTCTTGAGTTTGCGCTCCTTCTGGCTACCATAGTAGGTGAGGATTTTGAATCCAGGGCACCAACGTTTCAACTCCATCTCCCAGTTGAGCATTACACTGGTGGGCACAATAATCAGATGTGGACCCCAGTTACCTGTAAAAGCAAAAAGCAAGAAAATGTACTGCACTATATGAATTATATTTTCAACACGCATCATAGGGAAAGCAGTACTTATGTGGACTTATTACCCTTTACACATGCTAGATGAGCTAACAAAGCAATGGTCTGGATGGTTTTGCCAAGCCCCATTTCATCTGCAAGTATGCCATTGAGTTTCTTCTCATTCATGGTGACCAACCAGTCCAGTCCAATGTGCTGGTACTCACGCAAGGTACCATGAAGCAGGAATGGAATTGGTGTTTTGACCTTGTGTTAAAAAGAAACCACACAAATGCAGTTAATGATAAACAGAAACAGTGTTCTTCAGCCAGTGTTTCTGTGTTGCTACCTTTGTTGTTGCCAGTGTATATCCCTTAGGTTGAAGGCTCTCGGCAGTAGCAGCAATGTGGCTGATTTCTTTCTTAGGTCGGGGAGATGTTGGTACAGTAGGACTATGGTCTCCTTCTCTCAGCAGAACCTCCATTCCCTCTCCTCCATCATCCTCATTATCACTCTCCTGCACATCCTCATCTACTTTGTCACTGTCTACAGCCACTTGGGAATCTGAATATTGAGTAGATCACAGATGATGTGTGATATTTGGTCACTTCATACAACAGTTCATATGTTTTAGTGACTCTATCATCATAAACTTCAGCTCACCTGAGGAGGAACTACTATTATCAGCACTATCCTCTCCCTCCGTCTCTTCCTCCGCTTCCTCCTCAGTTCCCTCTGATTCTTCTGAGGAGTCCGGTGACACTGAGGCTGAGGGCTCCTCAAAATCAGAGGCATACGCTCCTCTGTACTTCTCTAAGAGCTCTTCCATGCTCATCTCCCCTGTGAAACAAATAAACCACAAGTGACAATATAACCTCAGGAAATGACTGTGCAAGTCATAATTAAAATATCTTCATTATACAGTTCAAAAGTTTGGGGTAACTTTAAAAAAAAAAAAAAATTATACTTTTATACAATTGATAACAGTAAAGGCATTTATAATGTTTTAAAATATTGTATTTAAAAAAAAATGCTTTTAAAATTTCTATTCATCAATAATAAGTTTTACAGACCCCAATCCTTTATAACAGTAGTGTTTGTTTATATATATATATATATATATATATATATA